AATGAAACAATGCCATTTGCAGCAAGATGAATGGACCTAGAGATTATCATTCTAAGTGAAGTAAGTCAGATAGAGAAAAATAAGTATCATATAATATGACTTCTACCTTGAATTTAAAAAATATGATACAAGTGAACTTATTTACAAAATAGACATAGAAAACAGCTTATGGTTACCAAAGGAGAGGGAGGGAAAAATTAAAAGTTTGAGATTAACAGGTACCTACTACTACATATAAACAACAAGGAACTACTGTATAGCACAGGGAACTATATTCGATATTATGAAATAACTTATAATGGAAAAGAATCTGAAAAAGAATATATTTGTATACACATATAACTAAATAACTACAGTACACTTGAACCTAACACAACATTGCTCAGTTCAGTTCAGTCACTCAGTCGTATACAACTTTTTGTGACCCCAGGAACCGCAGCATGCCAGGCCTCCCTGTCCATCACCAACTCCCAGAGTTTACTCAAGCTCGTGTCCATCAGTGATGGCATCCAACCATCTCATTCTCTGTCGTCCCCTTCTCCTCCTGCCCTCAATGTTTCCCAGCATCAGGGTCTTTTCCAATGAGTCAGCTCTTTGCATGANTTCCATGTCCAGCTCTAACTGTTGCTTCCTGACCTGCATACAGGTTTCTCAAGACTTTTCTTAAAATTCTTTTATTGAAATATAGTGGATTTACAATGTTGTATATAAATCCACTATATTTCAATAAAAGAATTTTAAGAAAAAAGTAACTTCAAATATCTTGGGGTAGGAATAAATTTATGTAATATTTGAATTATCCTTATACCTTTTAAATTAAAATTTTATCCATGTTTTTAAAAAATATGACTGGAAATCTATCACTACAGTTTAAAATACTTCTTATGGGAGTCTTACATTCTTTTCCTCATATATTCTATTTCTTCATTACATGCTCTAAATATATTTCTGATTTGGGTCTACACTAATTACAATGTTCTGGAAATGTGATATTACACAGCTAGATTTCCTTATATAAAAAGAATATGATAGGATATATTCTTACAAATATACCAGCCACTAAACCCCAGAGATCAGAATCCCTTGGGGGATGCTTGCTTTTTATATCTCTAGGCATAAAATAATTGAACTGAGAACAGAAGTCACATTCTCTTAAACATGCTTCTTCTTCATGTCAAGATGAAAAGGTACAACTGACTCATTTTTATTCTTAAAGTGACGAGAACAAGGAGGAAGGTGAGTTTCACAATTACAGTGCTCATGTTGTATAAGTATTAAAATAAACAGATTTTAAATTAACTCTTGATTTTCCCACAAACTGGAGGCTCAGGCCACCAAGACACAGGAAGGGAGAGAGAGCCTGTGGACACCTATCTCAGACTCAGACTCCTTATCTGAGTAATCTAGGGTCTAATGTGTGAATTAACCTATGAAGGCATCAGCCTGTAAAGTAGGAATTACAATATGGCCATCTTTACAAGTATTTATTATTTTTTATAGATTAAAACATGAAACTCAGAGACTCTCTGCTGAGTCAAATGTTACACTGTGTTAGAGTTAGTATTGAAACAAAACGTATTTGACTCATGATTCACTGTTCTTTCTGCCACTCTGTGTTAATGGCTTCCTTCTTTAAAGGGGAGCAATTTTTGAAAATCAAATCCAATTTTTTTAAATTATATTCTAGATCTGAGCTGTCCAATGGTATAGCCACTAGCTGCATGTGGCCACTGAGCATTTGAGTGAGATTTGACATGTATTGTTAAGTCAATCAGTGCTAGTCACTCGTGGACTTTGCAACCCCATGGACTACAGCCTACCAGGCTCCTCTGTCCATAGAATTCTTCAGGCAAGAATGCTGGAGTGAGTTGCCATTCCCATCTCCAGGGGATATTGCCAACCCAGGAATTGAATCCAGGTCTGCTGCATTGCAGGCAGATTCCTTACCATCTGAGCCACATTATAAATTTCAAAGATTTATACAAAAAATATAAAATACCTCTTAAGAATTTTTACATCATTACATTAAACGTAATTTTTTGTATATACTAAATTAAATATAGTAGTAAATTGACTTTAGCTATTTGCTTTTGCTTTGTAAAGAAAAGGGGGGGTGCTTGTAGGACATTATATTAATAAATCACCCTTGTGACTGCAATATCTTTCTTTCAAGCAATGCTGACCTAGACTTTACCTTTGAAAAAATACTATCAATTGTCATAGTTTTAATAGCACTGTATGGTGCATGGAAATGTTTAAAAACTTACATTTTGAGTTGCTAAACTGAAAAAAAAATTGCTAAATTGCTTTTGAATCCAAAATTTACGTAAGGCCTGAATCAACTGAGTCAGTGTGGTAGATTATTTCAAGGGGGTTCAAACATACAACATAAAAAACTTTAACCCAGGCCTAGTAGAATTTACTGCTTAGTAAATGGTTAAATAAAGTCAATACTGGTTAGCATTATTCATTTTTATGTGGATTAAGATGTAATCTGTATAAAAATTCTTCCTATAAACAAAACATTGCAATTCTATGTGTTGTAATAAGCCATTGGAAGGCATATTACACTGCCATGGAGTCTCTGAGACTATGTGAAGGTGGAAAAACACTGAAATATAAAATGGTACAGCTCTAGCCTCCATCCAAAAGGCCCTTCTTGAGAGGATGTTTTCAAGAATGGGCTTCAAATGATCCTTTCTGGCACAGAAAAGAAGCAGAGAGAGGTTCAGACGAGAAAATATGAACAAAGTAAAATGGTTCCAGTTCTAGGAGACAGAAACCTAGAATAGCACCTCTCCAACTTCAGTGTTCACACACATCACGTGGGGAACTTGCTAAAATGCGAATCTTGACTCAATTGGTATGGCTTAGGACCTGAGACCATGCACCAAATCCCCAGTGGTGTTAGTGATGTTCCATGTTGAGTAATAAGGATCCACAGCACAGAAATGTTTGGGAAAGAGAGGACAGAGAAGTGAGCTGGATTGAGTAGAGGGGAGACAGGTGCAGAGCCCTGGCACAGAACAAGGAACATGGGCAGAATGGCAGACATTTCACTGTGACCAAGAGCCCAGTAAAGATCACAGGGCATGTGGGAGAATTAGACACATGAGGGAGAGGTTAGTGAGTTTGTGACACTCAGGGCATTCTGAAGGCATGCTTGAAAAGACCTTATGGGCAAAAAGCTGAGTATTGGGTCTTGTTGGACATTCTTTTTCTGTTTCTGCATGTAGTCTCTAGGACTAGACTACACCTGTGTGTGTTAGCTGGCAAAAGTCAGAGGGAAAGGAGGACTCATGAGTATTTTAGCAACAGGCTCAGGGCAACTGGACAATCTCTCTTCTTCACACGGTTCCCCAGGCTCCATCCCTCAGGACAGGAAAAGAAGAGCAGATGCAAAGCGTTCTGTAAAATCTGGCCACCTTGCTCAGAGGACAGCTGTTCAGTGTTAGGAAGCTCCTCTGTTTTAAACAGATTTGGGGATGCACATGGCCAAAGGAAGTGTGCCCTGTCCTAATATGGCAGTAATGGATGGAAGTAAGAGACACAAAAGTTTCTTTAAGAGCCAGGGAGAAAAGTAGATCTATGCCTGGCAAGTTGAGAAGATACTAAACCAGATGTCTGAGCATTGCCCTGTATAACCTCTAGGTAGATACAAGACTGTAGGCTGTGAGCAGCCCAATGCCAAAAGAAAACTGGTCTGATTTTTCAGAGGTAAGGTCTTTTTGACCCCAGGACAGGCATCTCTAAGTGGAGTGCCCTCTTTGCCCCCTCCTGGAGGAAGTGTGGGTGAAAGACAGGAAGCACTACTTGAAAGCCTCCAGTGAAAGCTGAAATCCCCAAATGGCAGCACTAGCAGTAGTATATTGTCTTGCTCAGTACCCTTGGTGATGCAGGTAGGCTTAGCTCAGAGGATTGATAGAGGGTCACAGGCAGAAATAACTGTAGGAGTGCTGCCATTCCACCACCATCAAGCTTTACTGAAGTATTAGAAGAATATGCTTTCCACCTGGAAATCAGCTTGTGATTAGATTACAATAGAATAGCAGAAATGAAAATACAGTTTCCTGAAACATGTTCTGAGCCACACTGGAGCTACAATATGATTGTTTTAAAGTGGAAGGGGGATTCTATCACCAATTTAGTTTGGAAAAAATTGTTTGTTGTAGAGCTGTCCAGGAGAATCTGAAATAGTCTTGGTTACAAAACGTGTTTAACTTTATGTAATTCTGCATGTCTGAAACCAGTATGATCCTAACGTACCTATTTCATGTACACTCTGGAATTAATACTCTAGAACACCCTTGAAAAACTTGATGTGGACATTACAACTAATTTTAACAATAAATACCTTTTCTATAGGAAATGCTGGAGGCAGTTTCAGCTCTAGGCAACTATATTATTAGTAGAAGTATTTTCTAAGCACATAGCTCTTCTTTATGTGCCTTTTCAACTGATTTGCTTTAGAAAAACTCTTCAATGTTCTTTAGCATTAGACTTACTTTTAATGCTGAAGTTAAAGGTTTTATACTCTGCTAAAAGAATTAGAGACAGTAAGGAGGATGTGAAAATTTATATATGGTTCCTAAAATCTATGGGGGCTTCCGCAATGATTCAGCAGGTATAGAACCCACCTGCAATGCAGGAGACGCAGGTTTGATCCCTGGGTCAGGAAGATCCCCTGGAGGAGAGCATGGCAACTCATGCCAGTATTCTTGTTGGCAAAATCTCACGGACAGAGGAGCATGGCAGGCTATGGTCCATGGGGTCGCAAAGAGTCAGACACAACTGAAGCTACTGAGCACACAGAATCTACAGGGAGAGGATACTGACTCTGTTTTATCTGAGACCTGACTTTTGATGGGTCTCTACCCATCAGTGGAAGCACAGGCTTAGTGCTAAAGGGTAAGAAAACCGGGGTTCAGTGTTTTCACAGAGAGAATATTTGGATTGTGAAGAACTGGAGAGGGACTGGGACTGCCTGTATAATTTGACTCTTCCCCCTTTATCTCCACAGATTTCTCAGAGGAGAATGGGTGTAAGAAATCAATCCACAGTGACTGAGTTTCTTTTCACAGGATTAACAGACCAACCAGAACTTCAGCTGCCTCTCTTCTGCCTCTTCTTAGGGATTTATATGGTCACAGCCATGGGAAACCTAGGCATGATCCTGATAATCAGGTTGAGTTCTCAACTCCACAAGCCCATGTACTATTTCCTTAGTAGTTTGTCTTTTATAGATTTCTGCTATTCTTCTGTCATTACCCCCAGAATGCTGGCAGGGTTTTTATGCAGAGATAAAGCTATATCCTATTCTGGATGTATGATCCAGCTGTTTTTCTTCTGTATTTTCATCATTTCTGAGTGCTACATGCTGGCAGCAATGGCCTATGACCGCTATGTCGCCATCTGCAGCCCCCTGTTCTACAACGTCATCATGTCCCCCAGGGTCTGCTCTCTGCTGGTCACTGCTGTCTTCTCAGTAGGTTTTACTGATGCTATGATTCATGGTGGCTTTATGTTAAGGTTGACTTTCTGCGAATCAAACATCATTAAACATTATTTCTGTGACATCGTTCCTCTCATTAAACTCGCGTGTTCCAACACTTATATTGATGAGCTTTTGATTTTTGTCATCGGAGGATTTAACATGGTAGCCACCAGCTTGATCATCATCACTTCATATGCTTTTATCCTCTCCAGCATTTTCCACATCCATTCTAAAGAAGGTCGGTCCAAAGCCTTCAGCACCTGCAGCTCCCACTTGACAGCTGTCCTTGTATTTTATGGGTCGCTCATGTCCATGTATCTCAAACCTGCTTCCAGCAGTTCACTCACCCAGGAGAAAGTGTCCTCAGTATTTTATACCAATGTGATTCCCATGTTGAATCCTCTGATATATAGTCTGAGGAACAAGGAAGTAAAAAACTCATTGATGAAACTCTTAAGAAGAAAAATATCTTCATAATGAAAATGCTTTTTAAAAATGATTGAGGTATAGTTGTTTTACCATATTGTATTGGTTTCTGCTGTACAAAGTGAATAAGCTGTATGTTTACATATATCCCCTTCCTCTTGGGTCTCCCTCTCACCCTCCATCCCACCCATATTAAGATTTATTTATGTATTCATAATCGTATGTGCTTGCTTGTATTTATGTCTTTGAGTCTTAAAAAATAATTTGAAATGAGGTAAAGTGGTTTTTCCAGTAGTCATGTATGGATGTGAGAGTTGGACCGTAAAGAAGTTCAGTTCAGTTCAGTCATTCAGTCGTGTCCAACTCTTTGTGACCCCATGAATCGCAGCATGCCAGGCTTCCCTGTCCATCACCAACTCCCAGAGTTTACTCAAACTCATGTCCATTGAGTGGGTGATGCCATTCAACCATCTCATCCTCTGTCATCCCCTTCTCCTCCCCCTTCAATCATTCCCAGCATCGGGGTCTCTTCAAATGAGTCAGCTCTTCGCATCAGGTGGCCAAAGTATTGGAGTTTCACCTTCAACATCAGTCCTTCCAAAAAATATTCAGGACTGATTTCCTATAGGATGGACTGGTAGGAATCTCCCTGCAGTCCAAGGGACTCTCAAGAGTCTTCTCCAACACCACAGTTCAAAAGCATCAATTCTTCAGCAGCTACATGGCACTGGAGCAGCAGAGAGGAGATACCCCACGTCCAAGGTCAGAGAAACCCCAGTAAGACGGTAGGCACTGGAGCGGCTGTGAGAAGATACCCCACAGCCAAGGGCAAAGGAGAAGCCCCAGCAAGATGGTAGGAAGGGAGAATTCGCGTTTAGAATCAAACCCCATTCCCGCCAGAGATGCTCAGAGGGCTCAAACAAACCTTGTGAGCACCAGGACCCAGGGACCCCACAGAGACTGAAACAGAGCTGTGTTTGAGCATCTCCTGTGGAGGTACAGTATCCTGTGGGGTCACTGCTCTTTCTTCCTGGGTCCTGGTGCACAAGGTTCTGTTGTGCCCTCCAAGAGTCTATTTCCCAGTCCTGTGTAAGTTCTAGCAACTCTATGGTGGGGTTAATGGTGTCCTCCATCAAGAGGGCTCATGCCAAACCCAAGTCTGCTGCACCCAGAGCCCCTGTCCCTGTGGCAGACCACCGCCGACCCGTACCTCCACAGGAGATGCTCAAACACAGCTCTGTCTCAGTCTCTGTGGGGTCACTCTTGGTTTAAATATCCTGTATGTTAGTTGAATCAAACTATTAACTGTATTATTCAAATCTTATTTATTGTTTTGTCTACTTTCAATTTCTTAAGAAGCCATCTTATCTCTTAAGTATTATTAACTTCCCTCTACAAATATGAGTTTGTCTATTTCTCCTACAAGCACTGTCAGCATTTGCTTTGTATATTCTGATATCATAGTTTTGGTAGGTACAAGTTTAAAATTGTTATATTTCAGAATATCCCAGTATAGCTCTAGTAACTTCTTGTCATAAAGTCTAGTTTAACATTAATATAGCTACACTTACTTTTTTTCTTAGAGCTGGCATTATATATCTTTTTCAGTTCTTTCACTTTCAACAAGCCTGTGCCTCATATTTAAGGTCTCTTGTAGCTGTGTAGCTGTGTATAGTTGGGATTTGTATCCAATCTGAAAATTTAAATTTTTAATTAGAAAATCAAACATATTTACATGTAATATCATCACATATTGACATATGTATGCTCTTAATTCCATTTCACATTATTATTATGGTGAGCTTTTACTATAAATGTACTTAAAACTTTATGAAACCACTATAATTATTTTGTAAAGTCTAAATTAATTCACATTGCGCATATATTTAACTTCTATGTTGTTCTTAATTTCTTTCTGCATATCTAAATTTATCTCCTTCAATGTTAATAATAATCTTTAGTTTTTTTATGCAGATGTTCTGGCAATAAATATGTTCAGGATACTTTTTATTTGAAAATATTAATATCTCTATTTCAATTTTTTGATGAATTTTTTTTTTTTTGGACTTGGCCTCTAGGTTGACAGTTGCTTTACAGTAGCATAGGGGTCAATTTGATCATGTTATGATACATTAATAAACAACCCCCCAGATTTCATTGGCTAACAAAAATAAGAAGATTTAGAGACTTCCCTGGTTGTCCAGTGGTTAAGGCTCCAAGCTTCCAATTTCAGGGGCATGGGTTCCATTTTCAACTGGGAAGTAAGATCCCACATGCCACACAGTGCAGCCAAAAGATAGATAAGAAAGATGTGTTTCTCGACCACATTGCATGTTACTGGCTCCCTGTGTTCTTTGTCTCTGCCCCACATATGTCCTTATTCTGGACTCAGGAGAAAGCAGCAGCCTCTACCTGGGACATGCCAATCTGTGACAGAGGGAACAGAGCAACAGCTCAAATTTTAGCTCAAGCCTTGAGCACTGCAGGTCCACTCATCTGCCATTTTCTAAAGCATGTCACAAGGCCAGTGTGAGAATGGGATGTGTAACTGGAGACATGTAATCATCTTATAAAGAAAAGGGGTGCAAAATGATTAAAAACAATAAAGCAATCTACCAAAGTTGGTTCGTGTTGCCTTGTGTATCCCTTTTCTTTCCCTTTATTTTTCAATCACAATTTTGACTTCTATTTTAGATGCATCTCCAGTAATTTAAATGTAGTAGGATTTTTTTAACTAATCCAACAATTTCTGACTTTTAACAGTAAGCAGAAATGTCAAAGTGTCTAGGCTTTGACAGAAGGAAATGGATGAATCCCAGAAACTAAGCTTGTGATGTGAGCTAAATGGAGTGGACAAGAGGTACAATATGAAAAAATACATGCAAGAGTCCACTGGCTGATAGTAATGCCACATAGATACCTCTTTATTCCATGTCTGGCCTCTTTGGAGGGTTTCTACCCACTATCTTTTAGAAAGTACATTTGATCAATCTAGAAAATGCCTGTGCTCACATACTGGTACCTAAATTTACTCCAAATAACAACCTAAGGATTTTTAGACTAATTTAAGGATGAGGTATACACAAAGAGGAGAGTGGAAAAGTTGGCTTAAAGCTCAACATTCAGAAAACTAAGATCATGGCATCCAGTCCCATCACTTCATGAGAAATAGATGGGGAAACAGTGGAAACTTTATTTTGGGGGGGCTCCAAAAATCACTGCAGATGGTGATTGCAGCCATGAAATTAAAAGACGCTTACTCCTTGGAAGGAAAGTTATGACCAACCTACACAGCATATTAAAAAGCAGAGACATTACTTTGCCAACAAAGGTCCGTCTGGTCAAGGCTATGGTTTTTCCAGTAGTCATGTATGGATGTGAGAGTTGGACTATAAAGAAAGCTGAGCGCTGAAGAATTGATGCTTTTGGTTTTTTTTTTTTTTTCATTTATTTTTATTAGTTGGAGGGTAGAATTGATGCTTTTGAACTGTGGTGTTAGAGAAGACTCTTGAGAGTCCCTTGGACTGCAAGGAGATCCAACCAGTCCATCCTACAGGAGATCAGTCCTGGGTGTTCATTGGAAAGACTGATATTGAAGCTGAAACTCCAATACTGCGGCCACCTAATGCAAAGAGCTGACTCATCTGAAAAGACCCTGATGCTGGGAAAGATTGAGGGCAGGAGGAGAAGGGGACAACAGAGGGTGAGATGGTTGGATGGCATCATTGATTCGATGGACATGGGTTTGGGTGGACTCCGGGAGTTGGTGATGGACAGGGAGGACTGGCGTGCTGCAGTTCATAGGGTCACAAAGAATCAGACACGACTGAGCGACTGAACTGAACTGAACAATGGAAAGTTTAAAAAAAAAAAAACTTTTAATATCTCCGTGTGGCTTGTGGGATCTCAGTTCCCCGACAAGGGATTGAATCCAGGCCATGACAGTGAAAACTTAGAATCCTAACCACTAAGCCACTAGGAAAGAAAGAAAATGAAGTTGCTCAGTCATGTCCAACCCTTTGCGGCCCCATGGACTGTAGCCTACCAGGCTCCTCTGTCCATGGGATTTTCCAGGCAAGAGTACTGGAGTGGGTTGCCACTTCCTTCTGCAGGGGATCTTCCCAACACAGGGATCAAACCCAAGTCCCCCGCACTGTAGGGAGACGCTTTACTGTCTGAGCCACCAGGGAAATCTAAGCCCCAAGGGGACTCCCTCAAAAGTTTTCTGTGTTTCAGTTTCTCTGAAACTCTAAAGCAGGCCACCAAAATTTTATTAACTGAATAAAGCAAAAACATGGTGTGATTCCCCTAGAGGCCTCAACATGTGTATTTGGCATCTCCAACTAAATTTGTAATTGTGATTGTTTTTCAGGGTTAAAATTCTTTGATTATCATAATAGTAATTAACCTCTTTTACCTCATATTCCCAAGAGTCATTCTCAATTAAATTCTTAAGAGCAAGCAAGAGCTTCAAATACCACAGCTTATTCATGGCCTATTTTCATACAGAAAAGGACACATCACATCTTAGATGCAAGAAAAGAGTTCAGAGTTCCATTTATCTTATAAAGGATTTGGAGTTTCAGAATAAACACATGAAAACAACTGGTAAGCAGATTTAAAGTCAAAGTAATGATGGATTTTGTGACAGAGCTTAATAAAGATGTAATAGACAATCCACAGTAGGTCTCAGGCTAGAAAAATAGTTGAAAAGAATGCTTATATTTAGCCCTTGGTAGAACTCTGTGTGTGTGTGTGTGTGTGTGTGTGTGTGTGTGTGTGCTCAGTCATGTCCAACTTTTTGTAACCCCATGGACTACAGCCCACCAGGCTCCACTGTCCATGGAATTCTCCAGGCAAGAACTGGAGTGGGTAGCCATTCCCTCCTCCAGGGCATCTTCTTGATCCAGAGATCGAACCCAGGTGTCCTGCATTGCAGGCAGATTCTTTATTGTCTGAGCCACCAGAGGTTGCTTTGGTAGAACTACCTCATCCTAAATATCCCTTCCAATGCTAAGACTCTTCTGAATCTAAAATGTTCCAGTTACTCAATTATTCGA